ACTAGAGTGAACTGAAGTGCATGAATGAGCAATTCCAATTCCTCTGATTTGTTACTCAAGCTCCAAGCATTGGTGTATAGGCAAGTCAATATTCTGACTCAGTTTGTTCTGACTGTCTTTGTTTATAGTGTGACAGTTCTCGGGGTGCCCAGGACTATGAGTCACTTTGTTACCCCCTTGCCTCTAGCGAGACTTGCTTGTGTTTAACTGGGTGTCAGTTCCCTGACCTCATCAGCATGTGTGCCACCCAAACACTCTCCTCTGGGCAATGCCAGCCCTTACTATGCTTTGTGGGTTAACGATCGGTGCACCCCTTTAAACATTCTCCAGTAACGTCCAGCCTCTACTCCACTGAATACTCAGAGAAATACCAGGCCAGCTCTTCCCCAGGGACTAGTGTGCACCCCAGCTTGTATGAGTCACTCAGGATCAGCTCCTTGTATAACATCGCAGTGCTGAGATAGATTTATAGTGAAGACAGCCCTAAGTTTATTATGAAACATTTGAGATTCAAGAGATACTAAGGATAGAGGAAAACCCACATATCCTCTGCAGCGTTTCAACCATGGTTGTGATCCTGTTTTCATGAGTGTAATTGCCCCACCAGATTACTTCTGAGGTGCAGGATGGAGGGCTGATCATTCCCCGCATATCCCCCAATGGTCTTTGTCTGTTCCTGACTCAGGATAATCCCTCCATAGCTTATTCTCCAGAGCGCTGCCTCCCTGGTGATTTCACATCACCGCCGTTGATGCTGTATGTAAAGGGGCCTCCATGGTGCCAACTTACAATGCTTAGTTTACATGGCTGACCGAAAGACAGGTGAATAAACACATTTTGTCTGGCAGAAACCTGTTTGTCAGCTCTGTCTTGATCCAGACTTCAGGAACGTTTGTTCTGTATCTGTAGATAACTCCTTACATAGGATCTGTACATACCTGTCACAACATTAATGGCCAGCATGACCCCAGCTTTCATTTGAGACCTCAGCCACATTCTGTGGTGAACCAGCATGTACAGACAGCGATCAGGACATTCCGGTAACCCCCTTGCCAGCAGGCATTGGGGGGCTTCTCAGGATCACATACAGGGACAGGTCTGAGACAGACACAGCCCCAATGTTGTGTGTGTGAAAGCAGGTGCAGGCATATGTGCCTGTGTATATATGCAGGTATTTGCATATATGCGTGCGCTCGTGTGTGTGTCTGTGTAGGTGTATATCTACTCCACCAGGGCCCTAACAGTGGTGGATGGTTCCACCACTGGGTCAGCAGGGATCTCACCAAAACACACCGACTCGTTTTCCGGCAGCACAACCAGACTAAAGCCTGGTTTCCCTGGGCTACTTCCATCTGGGAGCAGGGCTCCATAGTCCAAGGGTCCGCCATCTCCTTAGGGTACACAGCTGCCGGCAATCCTGGCAACTCCTCTCCGTGGACAGTCTCCTCCAGGGGCAGGGTGTTGCACAGTGCAATTTTGGCTCCAGAGTTCTGCACCAGGCTGGAGACATCTACCTTCTTCCCAGGCTCCAACCCAACTGAGCTACAGGGCCTGTCTTTTATACTTCTTGCCATGCCACTCTGCTTTGGGCATAGGGGGCGGGGCTGGTTTGACTCCTCCCACCAGGGGGAGTGGCATGGTCCCTCCCTGTCAGGCTCAGATGGAGGCTACTCTGCCTCACTACAAGAGGCCTTGGTTTAAAAAGAATAGCATTTATTTTAAAGTTGAAAGTTTATTGATTAAACATAAGAAATTAAAAGAGGTTTTTATACTGAATTAGAATAAAAAATACTTAATAGGTTTTAATGAAATTTGTTTTGCATAATCACTTTGTTTTGTTTTTGGAGGCAAAATATTAAAGGTATTTTATGTTATTAACAGCTTTTTGTGATGAACAGGAAAGAGTTCATTTTCCTGCCAGTCCTGATGGGCGAAGGGTATTTATGTCTCCTGTTTCTAACACCCAGACTGACACAAGGTGGAGGAGATCCAGGATAGAGAAGGTGGGGGCAGCAGGGCTTTCGGGGACGCTGTTGGAGTGCTGGGCTGTTACAAATGGACACTCTGGCTGGCAGGTCAACTACGACACCTACTGTTTGGACCCTGGTTCGTGTCCCAACCAGGGACGTTCTTGGGGTGGTTTTCAGGGTTTTTTTAAGACAGGGCAGGACTGGTCCTCTCAGCTGGCTGTGCTGATGCAGTGCAGTTGTTTTCAGGAGATGCTGAAAAGGCAAGAGAGTGAGAGGGAGGCTGGGAGGAAGGAAGGTGGGGGGCAGAATGTAACCCAAGGGAAGGGAGGCAGAACAGGCTCTCTGTCTCTGCCGTGCTGTCACGTAGGTGGGTGAGGTGACAGTGCTTTCACCAGTGGGTGAGGACTGGATGCTATGATCCTATGATGACTTTTACAGCTCATAGGTGAAAAACCAAGTTCCTTGAAGAAGAGCAAGGCCTGTTGGCATTCTTCTCTGGAAGAAAGTCCTCTGGCCTATTGCTCCTTCTGTTCGGAGTCAGGGAAGATGAAGTGGGAGAAGATGAGCTGGGATGCACTGGGAAGATGAGAAAAGATGTACACCAACATTTTTTATTTGCAGATATCACTGCAGTGGCTCATGGGAGTTGTAGTTACCACATTCTCCTCTATGGGCTAGGCTCCCCAGCCGGACTACATCTCCCATATGGCATAGTGATCTCTGCTCATGGTTTGTCACTGGGGTGCATCATGGGAGTGCAGTGGCCATGGTGCATAGTGCCATTTTCTTGTACTTTTCACTGCTCAGGTGTGCACTGTGGCTCACGCTCAGCATTTCTGACCTTGTGCTGTGTGGTATTATGACACACTGGCCATTGTACAGAATCCCAGCACACAAAACAATCTCATAGCATGCTATGCCTGGAGGTGCCTGGCTGTGTCTTGCACCAGCCATCCAGAATGACTCCCTAAGAGAGAGTCATTTTGGGGTTCATGGTTGAGCTGGTTCCATTCTGTTTCAGAGATGGGCAACACTTGGGTCAGATCAAATCAGACAGAGCTAAGGAATCTGAATTAAAAACGTTTATAACTGGACACTCACAGTGCATGTTTTGGGGGGTGTTAGTGTGTGGGGCTGACAGGTCAGAGGTGGGGAGATGAAGGTGGAGAGAAAGAAAATGGAAAGAAAATGCTCTAGTGCATGATAGGAAAAGGAGAGATTCATAGATGCTAAGGCCAGAAGGATCCATTCTGATCACTCAGGATACATATACACTGCAATTACACACCCGTGGCTGGCCCATGATAGCTGACTCGGGCTAAGGGGCTCGGGCTAAGGGGCTGTGTAACTGCGATGCAGATGTTCTGGCTCGGGGTGGAGCCCACACTCTAGGACTCTGTGAGGTGGGAAGGTGCCAGAGCTCAGGCTGTAGCCCAAGCCCAAACATCTACACCACAATTAAACAGCCCAAGCCCCGTGAGCCCTGCTCTCTGTCTTGCTTCCAGATCTGCGAACAGTGAGCAGGGTTACTGCTTTGGCTCAAGAGGTAGCAGTGTGTGCTGCGGTGATGAAGAGCTGGGTGCGAACTTCTTGGATGGCATAGGGAGGGGCAGAGAGAGGGGGACGGGGCCATCACACATGATGGAATTTCTTGGCGGTTTCAGTTAGTTTTATTTTACAAATCTAGGAAATTCCCCTACAAAGAGCTATGTTAAAAACATTGTTAAGGTTGCCAAGTCCGGCCCCAACCACTGCTTCCAGGGAGGTCTGGCAGCGCTGCAGCCCCCAGCTCAGCCCCTGATTGAGAGCCCCAGGGGGCTTCATTTGCCCCAATTCTGTCATAGGTTCAATTTTCTTCTGAGCCCCAGGAATAAGGGGGTGATGGGAAGAGACAGCAGTATGCCCTGACCCCAGTCACACAGCAGGGTCAATCGCTCCATCCCAGGACCAGCGAGGCCCGTCTCCATTGGCCCCAGGTGCACGGTCAGCTCGCTGGGGAGCTGCGCTGCAGCAGGACCCCAGTCCAGCAAGGCAGGGGATGGTGCACTCAGCTACCAGCAGCCCGTGAGCGGGGCTGCTCCCGCGCTGAGGGCCTTTGCGAGGTCAGGGGAAGAGACGGGGACCATGAAGCAGCATGATCACAAAGAGCCAGAGGGCACAGAGAAGGCCCCAGGTTGGCAGTGAGGACTCATATTACCACCCTCTGGAGGCATGATGCCACCCAGAGCCTCCCTGGACACAGGCTAAGCGGGCGCATGACACTGCCATTCAGGAGGTGGAGGACAAGCCCTGCCCTGCAGTGCCATGGCCCAGCTCCTGCCCAGCCCTGTCCAGGAGAGGGCAGGCTGCACTCGCCAGTGCCACGGGTGCACAGGGACGAGGAGGGCACTTTGTACCTGCCCCTCCTGCCCGGTCATCACTCAGCTGCCAGAGCCTTGCAGGGAAGGGCAAGAAGGCAGCATTCAGCCCTGGGGACAGCCCCGGGGGTCACTGTGAAGACCAAGCCCCCTGTCCCTGCCCCTGGATGATGTAGGAGACCAGTCACAGCTGGGAGCGACAGCTGTTTGGGGCTCTCAAGGGCCTCATGTTTCAGGTCCTCAACTGGCAGGGAGCCAGCAGGGGCTGTGAGCAGCTCTGCTCTTAAAGCGCCAGGCTGCTCCTTGAAGCTTTCAAATTCTTCCCACAGCCCTGGAATACATCACCTAGGTAACCAGTCTTAACCAGCCAGCCTGCCTTCACCCCAGCAGAGCATTTACAGGCAGAATCCTTGCAGGGAGAACAGCAGCGTTTTCCACCACGTAAGTGATTTCTGAATCCTTCCTAGCAGGCCGGCGGGGGTGGTGGGAATGGTCCCTGTGGAGCCGGGGCGCTGTGTCGGTTGCATGTTAATTGCATAGATGGGGATTGGCAAAGTACCCCAGGTGGCTTTCTCTGTCCTTTGCCTTTGCATCTAGCCGGAGGAGACAGGAGTGGTGTGTGGCTAGGTTTCAGGGCTGGGAGGGAGGCAATGTAGATCCAGGCGGCAGCCCGGACAGCATGGGCTCAGGGCTGGGAAATGATGTTGATACATCCATGGGTTCGGTAGGTGAAGTTTGGAGGAACTGCGGCACCATTGCCTCGCAAGGATTGAAGGGAATTCCCTGTCTCCAACAGAAAGCTGCTTTTGCAACAACACACAGGGACACAAGATGGTTTGGAAATAGCCCACAGCAGAATATTTGCTTTTTCTTTCTATTGTACTGGCTGATGTTTTTAGAGTGCCACTCCATGGGATTATAAACCTGGCTCTGTCAAACTTCTCTGTGCATGGGTGTCCAGCACACTGTGCTCTCAGCCTCCGCCCTTGCAGAGCTCAGAGACACAAAGAGGTGGGGATGTTGGAAATTGATCAGATGAACCTGGATTTTCCTTCTCAGTGGCAGTCCACACTGAGATGCCGGCTGGCTGGTATTTCTGCTATCCGTGCTGCATCTCTAAGCAGCAGCCACTTTGCTACAGGCAACGAAAATGGTGCTATTTTCCCCCCCTTAGCCAAAGGTTCAACCCCTCCCGCATTTAATGGCTCTGGGATCCGGGACTGCGGCATGGGCTGGTGTGTGTGGCTCACTCAGGCTCTGTACGCCTAGCTGATGAAATGCAGAATGCCGACGGACATCTGCACATGGGCTTTGTGTGTTTGCGCAGGAAAAGGCATTCGCTTCACTCGACTTCTACCTCTTCCCCTCTGCAATAAGCAGCGACCTGTGCTCTGTGTCCCCACCAGAATGGCTAAGGCTGGAGAGCATTTTCATCGCTTCATGTCGTTATCGGCAAACCGTGATTCCTATTTTTAGGCACTCTGCTTCCTTGCCCCTCCTTTCGCTAGCGTGCTGAGTCTCAGAAATAACCTGAGCCTCGTTTGCATCATGGGTGTGGGGCTGGACCTTACTCACACAGCTGATGTAGCAGGTTTGGCCGAAGCAGCAGATCTAGCTTGTTTCCACCCAGTCGCTGACAAAGGAGTCAATATGAGAGGTGTCGAGCCCCAGCTGTCAGCCCAAAGCAAGGTTGCCAGGAGCTCTGTCTCTGTTCTGTCTCTTCTCAGCCATTGTGTTAGGTTTGGACAAGTGCTTTGGTAGCATCAAATGGGGAAAAAAACAAGCAAGCATAGTGCAGCCAGCATTACTGCAGGTGCATGGAACTCTAGCATGATAACTGCCGCTCTCGGGGTCCCCCAGCAGCCGTGTTCTGTGCCCATCTTCACTGGCTTAGCATTGGAAGTGGGCCAGTAAATGTTTCCCAAGTGTTGTAGAGAGCATTGCCTGTATGTCTTCCAGAGGACAGATGTCACATACAGGTGGATACGAACCTTTAACGCCCTCAAGAGATTTTGGAAAATCCTTTGGCCTGGCCAGAGGCTCCATGAGCCAGGGCGTGTCGGATAACGGTGTGTGTCTGCTCATCTCTCAGCGGCCCGTGCTGGCTGGCCAATCAGATACCTGGACACGCCAGGCCCCCTGTCGCCGGGGAGCCACCACAGCCAGCATTATTCACAAGCATGTGCTACGCACAGCGATTGATGTCTGTCGTGACACAAAGGCTGCACCTAGGCCAGGTGTTTCCTGCTGGGACAGTGAGGGAGCAGACTTGCCTGATGCCAAAGCAACTGATCACTCTGGGCTCTTTTCCAAGGGAAGTTACTATTGGACCAATTTCATACCAGGTATAACTCCTTTGAAACCCATCTGTGGCTTTCCCCAGGGAGAAGGGTTTGTGGACTAGGCTTTGTGTAGAATAGCCAAGGATATCGGCCAGGGCAGCCTTGAATTGGCTGGAAAACATGACAGTGCCCTAGAGAATGCCAGTTTCCCAGGGCATGCCCTCCTCTGCTCTCCCTTCCGGGGGGGGGGGGGGGGGGGCGGTTCCCAGCTTGTTGCAATCAGCTCCCTGCACTGCTGCATTACTAATGTTGCTAGCAAGCCCTAACTGGCAAAAACCAGCAGTGGTGTGGCATTTTATCTGTAACTGTACCCCTGCCTGGCCATTGTCACCTTCGCTCACCACTCGTATCCCCTCGTCTGCACGAGGGCTATGTTGCACCGATCCACGGACTTGGCTGCTGCTGAGCTCTTGCCCCCAGAGAAGCCGGCTGTGCTGGCTGAGTGGCCTGGGCGAGAGCTGTGAAGGGAAGCATGACAGTCTATATGAGACCACACAGCTCACATGCTACAGCCAGGGCTCCCAATCTTGCCTCTGTCGCTCACTCTGGCTTTGGTCAGATCACTGACCCCCCAGTTCCTCATATATAAACGAATATGCAGGGCCGGATTTCCAATTAGGCACAGTAGGCCCGTGCCTCAGGGCGTTGGCATTCTAGGGGCACCTAAAAGTTAAAAGTGGGTTAAAAGTTAAAAAGCGAATACATACAGCCCCCTTGCAGGCAGGCAGCTCCTGGCCTGGGCCAACTTTCTAATCGCACAAAACCAAATACCCCTTCCCCTTCCCCGAGGCCCTTTCCCTGTCCTGCCTCTTCTCTGAGGCCCCGCTCTCGCTCACGCCATCCCTCCTCCCTCCATCACTCACTCTCCCCGATCCTCACTCACTTGCACCAGGTTGGGGCAGGGGGTTGGGGTGTGTGGGGGGTGAGGGCTCCAGCTGGGGGGGTGGGCTCTGGGGTGGGGGGGTTTGGAGTGCAGGAGGGGACTCAGGACTGCGGCAGAGTGTTGGGGTGTTGGGGAGGGGACTCCGGGAGGGAGTTTGGGTGCAGGAGGGGACTCCGGGCTGGGGCAGGGGATTGGGGTGTGGGGCAGGGTGCGGGGTCCCAGCGGCACTTACTGCAGCTCCCAGGAAGTGGCAGCCAGGTCTCTGAAGTCCCGAGGCAGAGGCATGGCCAGATGGTTCTGCATGGTGCATGCTACCCTCGCACCTGGAGTCGTCGTCCCCGCAGCTCCCATTGGTCACGGTTCTTGGCCAATGGGAGCGATGGAGCCAGAACTAGGAGCAGGGGCAGCATGCGCAGCCTCCCTGGCCACCCATGCACCTAGGGGCCACGGGGTTCTGGCAGCCGCTGTTGGGAGCAGCACAGAGCCAGGGCAGGGCTGTGCTGCCGACTGTACTTTTAACGGCCCAGTCAGCTGTGCCAACCAGAGCTGCCAGGATCCCTTTTCAACTCGGCGTTCTGGTTGAAAACCAGACACCTGGAAACCCTAAGGCTGCTAAAGGTGCTGTGAGCCGCGGCCGGGCAGGCCGGCTTCTGAAGGTGCTGGGAGCATTTCAGCACCTTCCCAATCTCAGCCACCCCACTGCCTTCACCTCGTACCGGGGAGGCAGAGGGAGGAGTGTGGCCAGAACACCATTCACTTGCATGGGCAGAGTTGGAACATGGCTGTGGGAGGGACAGAAGACACCCGGGGACCACTTGCTATGTGGAGAGGTACAGTCCCCGCCTTGAGCCTCACCTGGGGCAGGTGGGCTGTGCCCCGACTCGGGCTGGGAGCGCCATCTGTGGCGGAGAGGTCTTGTGCCTTCCCGGGGAGGCTGTGTTTACCTTTCTTTTCCTTTCATTTTTTACGGAAGACACAAAAGTCAGCTGTAGGCGGGGGTGGGGGTGCTGAAGATGCTGTGCCTAGGGGTGTGTAAGGTGTAAATCCAGCCCTGCCAATATGGTACATACCTGGCCAATAAGTTGGGCCAGCTGACTCTGGCGAAGGGGCTGTTTAACTGCAGTGTAGATGTTCCAGCTAGGGCTGCAGCCTGAACTCCAGGACCCTCCCACCTGGCAGGGTCCTAGAGCCTGGACTCTAGTCTGAGCCCAAACGTCTACACTGCAATTGAACAGCCCCTTAGCCTGAGTCAGCTGGCACAGGCCAGCCGTGGGTTGTTAATTGCGGTGTAGATGTACCTTGGAGGCCAAATTCCCAAAGTCATTTGGGCACCTGAAGATGCAGAAAGACACCGAAACACCTATAAAAATTGGGCCCTGGGAGCCTGTCCAGTGGTTCTGCCAGAAGTGACGGGAAACCCACCTGGCCCCTCAGACCAACTCAACTCTCTGCAGACACGGGGGCTGATCCTCAGAAGATGGAAATCATCATTGCGCCATTGAAATCAATGGGGCTGTGGACATTTCAGCGTCTGAGGATTTGGCCCATGGTTTATAGCTGATCGCTGGGACTAGCTATAATAATAAATAAGGCAGGTCTCATTTCTGTCCTGACTGATGCTCTGGGGAGCCCCGCTGAAGTCAGAAGTGGGTGGGTGGGATTTTGCTTTCAGTTTCACAGGGGTAAACCCAGAATAGCTCTACTGAGTTCTCTTCCTGAAAGAAATACTCTAGCTCAACCACAAGATATGGGCTGGATGCAGGAATCACTGGGTGAAATTCTCTGGCCTGTGCTATGCAGGAGCCCATATTACATGACCATAAGGCTTGCTGCTGGCCTTAAATCTGTGACTTCAATGGAGTTATTCCATGGAGTTATTTATGCACTAGAGAGCAAAATCTAGTGGGGTGTGTGTGGAGAGAAAGCAGACAGCAGTGTATGTGAGTGGATGCACCCAAACTTGCTCTGAAATGGAAGGGGTGATTTCCCATTGTACATGGCTGCTTCTCTTTGGGGGTACTAACTGGGGGGATGAGCCATGTTCTTTGGAAATGTCAGCCAACATCGTCAGAGAGTGGTTGCTTGGTGGGGTGTCATTGCTAAGTTGCCCTGGGGATCGCACCACCTTGTATGGTTGTTTGTTGTTGACGGATTGGTTAGAGCAGCGTTTTTCTTTTATGAATATATAATAACAAAATGCTGATTGCTAAGGAAATTGTTCTCTTCTTTCCAGCTGGGGCGGGCCGGCCACACAGGGAAGCATCATTAACAGATTGCCCTGCTCTGCACGAACAGATTAATACACCGAGATTTAGAGGTGATCGATGGGCGCCTAATGAAATACTTTGAGTATGAGCGTGGGCACCATAGAGTTAGCCCCAGTGAATAGGGAGTTGCTGCTGGAATCCTTGTAATGAGCTGTGATTTCAGCACCGATGCCCCATGTCTGGAAACCCCAGGGAGGAAACTGCCTGGTTGTTACTTCCGTGGTGGCATTGAACGTTTTCAATCAATAATTGTGATCGTCTTTAAACATAGCTCTCTGGCCTTAGTTACAAATGAATCCTGATTCCCCCCAGGAGCTGGTTGCTTGTAGGGGCAGTGTGCTGGGAGAGAAGCTGAGCCCTGATTAGGGGGCGGCGTTTCTCTGACTAGGGGTCCTATAAAGGTAGCCAACCAGTCAGGCAGCCGCACAGGAGCCAGCAAACAGAGCTGTAAACAGGGGAGTTTGAAAGGGGAGTTTTGGGGGAAGACTAAGAGCCAGGCAAAGGAACAGACAGGCTAGTGAAGTGAGTGTGTGGTGTTCTGGTAGTGTTTTCGTGCTCGTTGGGGGTTTGTTTTGCGGTGGGTGGGTGTTTTGGTTTGGTTTGTGTTTCCCAGACTAACAAGACTTAGGTGAGAAGGCTATGACAGACACCGAGGCAGCAGTGGTAGTGATCCAAGTAGTGGAAGACACTATGAAGATGACTGGATGTAGAAGCTGTGGCATGTACATGATCCTGGAGGGGGTACCTGTAAAGAATTTCGTCTGCATGAAGTGCCACCTGATAGAGCTGAAGGAAGAGAAGATCCTAGGATTGGAGATGCAGGTGGAGACTCAGTTTGAGTTTAGAAGGGGGTTCGAGCAGATGATGGAGCAAAGACATGAGGAGGCTGAAGGGAAAAGCTCAGACTTGCAGATGGAAGCAGGACCGAAGAACTCTGAGGGGATACTGCTGGGTGAGGAAAGTGGACAGTGGAAGCATGTGACTAGGAGAACCAGGCAGAGGAAAAGACTGGGCAGTGAAGGAGAAATGGAGCTCAGGAACAGGTTTGCAGAGTTGGAAAATGAAGAAGGGGCACAGCAGGTGGTCACTGAAGGTGAGAGGGCAAGGAAAAAGAGAAGAGCAGATAGTCCTATTGGAAGAGGGCAAGAGTCAGTGGAGATAATAACACCAAATATGAGCCCCAGGAGGATACGAGATGGGTTGCAGAGGATTGCAAGGGACAATAGGAATCGAGAGGCCTTGTGGCCTGATGGGATAGGGGATAGACTGGAGAATCGCACCATTGCCAGGAAAAGGCAGGTCTACGTGTTTGGGGACTCATTACTGACAAGAATAGACAGGCCTGTAACAAGAGCTAATCCAGAGAACAGAAGGATGTGCTGTCTGCCAGGTCCTAAGATACAGGATGTGGACCTGAGGCTGAAGAGGATCCTAATGGGAGCCAGAAAGAATCCACTGATTATCCTTCATGTGGGAACAAATGATACGGCTAGATTCTCGCTGGAACATATCAAGGGAGACTATGCCAGGCTGGGGAAGATGCTAAAGGAAATCGAGGCTCGGGTGATCTTCAATGGGCTTCTGCCTGTTCCTAGAGAAGGGCAACAAACATGTGACAAGATTATGATGCTCAACAGATGGCTCAGGCAGTGGTGCTATAAGGAGGGCTTTGGTATGTATGGCCATTAGGAAGCATTCATGGACAGAGGACTGTTCTCTCAGGATGGACTTCACCTGAGTAAGTAGGGAAATAGACTTCTAGGATGGAGGATGGCACAACTGATCAAGAAAGCTTTAAACTAGGAATTCGGGGGAGATGTCCAGGTAATCTCCACGCCAGTTATTCTCTTTGA